GGATGGGATTAGAAAGAGGGAAGAGAAGCGGGTTGAGTTTCAGGCACCACGAGGTGGAAGGACTTGCGCCAAGGGGTTTGCGTTACTCACCGGATATAGAGAGGTCTAAGCCGAGCCATCACTGAAATTACCAGAGTTTACCTCTTTCGCTGTATTCAGCTCCCCCGTCCCCCCGTTCTATCATTCTGCCTCTTCCACTTATTCCCTTCATTCGTCTTTTTTCTTTTTCTTTTTGTTTTCTTTTTTTTCTTTTTTCCTTCTCTTTCCTCCAACGACGCCACCGCTTCTCCTAGGCGAAATTTCCTCCATGTACGATGGGCTTTATTACATTGCCATCGTGTTATTAAGATGTTCCCATTTTCCCTTGTTTCTCTTTTTTCCCTCGTCTCGATCTAGAATATTCTACGCGGTTGAAACGACCCCCTTGTAATTAGTTTCGCCACGAACCAAGTCGTTCTCGTTCCAACGAAACGGTTTTTGGCCTCTCGTTTTCATACCGATTCGATTCGTAGAACGAATGTTGGCTTTTCGTTTTTATTTTTTTTTTTCTTTCGTTGAACGATCGGGATCTTTGTCTCGGTTCGAAACGTCGAGAAGAGATCACGTGGAAAGGTTTCACGATCTGCTTTCGAGCTGGGAAAATCTGTCAATCAACGAACGTTTCGAGGGGCGGAGGGAATAATATGGAAGACGTCGGTCTACGGCATAGTTTCTCGAAATCGTTCGTCGCGAGCATAGCTATGTTACGCTTGAAACGTTTCTGTTCTCTTACTCGAGAAAACTTTTCAATATGGAGGCCACGTGCAAGACTCTTTATACTTGTATCAGTCTCTCGATTTCGCTCCCCTGGATGATAACGGTGAATCGATCCAAATACACATCTCCTTTGGATCTGCGAATTGTAACCGAGTCGATATTTCGATTGATGACGTGAACATTTTCTACAAATCTTTCCTATTCGTGCTGATGAAATGATAAATTTTTAGATATCTTATCTTTTTTTTTTTTTTAGTTCGTAATAATATTATTCGAATTAATAAATTACACGTAAAATGGGGGAAAAAAAGTTAATTCATATTATCACTTATGTCTGGATAATCTTTTTTCCATAAATTTTGTTTTATGGAACATTCATAAAATTATAATCACTCTTAAATGCCCGCGGGCTTTATTCGATCTATATTTAACGAATAATTATGTCGAAATATTACGTGTTCGTTAATGAATTCCAAGTTACCGAAGGATTCCGATTTAATTTACATATACGTACAATAGATTTTCCAGCGAATTATTTCACGGGATATTAGAATAACGCGTTAATAACGTGTTAATAACTTCATCAAACACGTCCGCATAACGATGTTTCTTTCGCTTTCGAAACGTACAAAAGAAACGATCTGATACAGCGACGTCGATTGGAATTGACATTACCGATTTGAACAAATATGAAAAATGTCGCCGATGAAAAGATCTTTTCCGTGGAAACGACGCGGTGTGCCCGACACGGACCATTCATATTTTATCAGCCTCCTTATCAATTTCTTAACCACGAATGTGCCATTTTTCAGCCGTCTTTCTCATGTATATATTCCATCTCTCTTCCAGTTCTCTCCTCCCCAAAACACGGTTTGAAAAGAGCATTATTCCCGGCGCATTTTTGTGCTCGTGAATCTACAAAGTAAACATATTTTGAGACGTATGCTTTCAAAATCTTACAAAGCTAAAATTTATTAACCATTAATGTCGCAAAGAAGATTAAAATAAAGAAAAAATTCTGCGGATTTAAACAGAGTTAATAAATAATGTAATAAATAATGTTCATTTTTAATATTTAATATTTGGATTTCTTTTTAAAAGATATTTCTTTTTTAAAGAATTTTAGGATGTATCAATAATATTAACAATTTGTTTTTAAAGGAAAATTGTTTGGTCGACAATTGATGCGCTATTTTATCTTTGTGAACATGGATGTTCGTCATTTTGCACGGTTGCTTTGGCGTAAGGTCTTTTAGCAAAATTTATTTTGCCGGTCTGTTAACAAAATTTATTGAAAATATGATAACGAGTTTCAATGCGTTTTCGCAAAGGAAATAAATATCGTTCCTGTTTCCTGTACGTTCCATTTTTCATGCCAAATATGAACACGTACGGTTTAAACGGTGTTGTGTGCAACCATGTTGACGTAAATATATGTGTGTCGATCAATAGCTGTTTGTAAAAACTTTATATATATCTAGAAATTCAGATTTCTCGTTTAGGAGAAGTTATTGAGTTCGAAATACAAAAAAAATATTCTAATTTCGTCGTTTAAAATTAAAAATTTATATTTCAAATTATACTTTGATGTAATATTCGTTCAATATTTTACACCGATTGTTCAAAATTCAGGAAAAACACACTTCAACGTAGTCATTATCGAAATAAGTTTTCAACTTCTTAAACTTTTAAATAAATAACTGAATTAGAACACAATTTTTTAAAAACTGAGGGGAATGGAAGCGTGTTTTATGCAATATATTCTGTAGCATGTGAAAATCAAACTTTAATGATGAATGGATAATACGAAAACAGTGAAAAAAATTTATATAAACATTTTTTATTACAATATTTTTTAAGTTACAACCATATATCGATTACAATAATTATATATATTATTTATATATAATATATATAACATATATATATTATATTATATAATATATATAAAACAGTGAAAA